ACTTCATTTATTATCTTCACTTTCAAACATAATTGTCAATCATTAAAATATAAGAACCTTCATTGAGGAAATTTTGTGTTGACTTGTGTTGACCACATCATTTTCTATGATGGAAGATGGTAATAAATATATAATATTTCAGAAATAAAGTTACTGTAGCTATGATGATCATTTTCTTAAGATTTATAGAGAATGTGCCTTCTGTAAATATTATCTCTCAACATTAAATGAACAATAAAACACATTTAATGATTCAATAGTATAAAATTATGTTCAGTACATGAACCCTATGAACGAGACAGAATTCTACATGATCTGCGGGTTTGATACAGGTCAGTTTTTTTTTTTTGTAGGTGGAGATAGAAAACAACATTTCACTTTTAGAAGAGAAAGATAAAGAGGTGAAGGAAGTCCTGAGAAAACTGGACAATCAGGATAAACTGGACATAGACGAAGCAGTGGTCACTACGACTCCACTATACAGACAGTAAGTAATCCAATACCCCACACACACCCCACACACACCCCCCACCCCCAACTAACCAATACAACACTGGACATTGACGAGGCAGTGGTCACCACAACACCGCTATACAGACAGTGAGTAATCCAACAACACTCCCCCAAGCACACGATCACCATAACACCGCTATATAGACAGTACATAATCCAACATCACCCCCCACCCTCCCAACTAACGAACCAATACAATACCGCGATACAGACAGTACGTTGTCCACCACCCCTCCCCACCCCCTTACCCCACCCTCCAACTAATTACCAACCAACAAACCAATACAACACCGCTATACAGATTTTATGTAATCCAACACCCCTACACAAACCAGTACAACACCCGCCTGACCGCTATACAGATAGTATGTAATCCCCATACCTACCAACCATGAATAACTCAAAACAACCCGCTATACAGACAGTATGTCTCACACACATCTCTATGTCATTCATTTGTAAAGCAATGCTGTGTACGAAATTATGTATACACCCCCCCCCCCACAAAAAACCAATGAAAATACAACCACACAGTAAAGTCAGTGTTTAATCCCTCACCCCCATAACCCATACAACCCTGCTATACACCCATTATGTAATTCGCCTACACTCTCACAATACAAATACTCTCTACATCCAGTATGTACATGTGTAACCCCCTCAACACACACAATCACTACAACACCTCTATACACACAGTGTGTAACATTATCTCCCTTCACATTTAAGACAACTTGGTTACCAAACACTTGTTCACAGTCAGTTTGCATTGTTATAAGATTACTGTATATTAATCAATCATTTCAGGAGGCAGTTTTTCTGAAGACTACATCATTTTCACTTAGGGTGAGTTCACCATGCATCAGACACATACCTTGCTTCGGACAACTTTAGGCATTAAACTCTCTTTCATCCCAAGAGTTCTGTGTATTTATTTGTTTCAGTGCATAAAGATGAAGATTTAAATTTTTTAATAATACCGATTGTGTTTATCATGTTGTGATAAAAATAAAAACTGATTGCAAATGGCCTTAATAAGATTTTACGTAAATATTTTACATCATCAAAGGGGAATAATCATATAATTTATGATTTTGCAATTTTTAGGGTTATCGTTTTTTATTAAAATTTCCACGGAAAAATTGTAGACTTTGGTGAATTTTTAGGATATTGGTAATTTTACATAAATTATAATTAAATTTCACTTCAATATTTGTTTAATTCTTATTAGAGCTGGTAATTACTAGTATGCTATTTTCACCGTACATCGGACACAAATTAACCATGCATCGGACATTTTCTATTGAGGATGCAAAGGAAACACTATATTTTCATACTTTGAACCCAGCTGACAGCTGTTTTTTGCGGAAAAAGAAAATAAAATCTCTAAAATTTTTTCACTCAAAATACAAGTTATCGATATATGACTGTACTGTAGAATTTTACTCAACTTTTTATTTCTACAAACCAGAGCATGATAACCATGACCAAAAAAGCGCGAATTACGGCATTATAAGCATTTTAAAGCATTTCTAAGGCAGAGTGAGCTTCTTCTGAAATATCGTTATTACATTTGTGCAATAATGAATCTCGATTAAATTAAAGTTGAGGGTTATTTCTAAGATAAAAGATGAAAATATATCCATATCAAGGGTTTTAAAGCACTGTGATAAAGGTTTGAATTTTTCAAGAGAGATAAGATATCCATCTCTTTGTGTTTTCCGATGAATGGTGAACAATGTCCGATCCATGGTGAATTTTCAGGCTTTTTACAAAAAACTTGTTTTTGACTGATATATTTCTCAATCAAACGGCATATAATTGTGTCCTAAATTGTTATTTTAATCACAAACTAAATGTTAAATATTTTGATAATTTTCCGTCGGTAGCGATATCGCTAGAACTTGTTGAAGTACAAGGGTATCCGATGCATGGTGAATTCACCCTACCACTTTATATACTGTGGTTTGAGGTTTTTCTGAATATTTGTTGAGTTAAACATTATGTTTCGAGGATTTCGTTATTGAGCAGATCCACAAATTTAAATATTCATTGAATTACGAAATATGAAATTTTTGTTAAAGCAATGCTTTTGTCCTTGTAAATTATGTATATTCCTTAAATTTCATGTTTTACAACATCCACAAAAATTGATGCCAATGAAAATTAATGAAACCACGTTATAGGCTTATTATACTGTCCCATCTCTGATGGCTATACGTATGACCCTTGGACAATGAATTGCTTTGTTTATAGGCTGCTGAATTCCTTTGCTGAGGAGCAGGCAATAGAGGATGCTATATATTATCTGGGAGAGGCTCTGCGTAAAGATGTCATTGATCTGGATGTATTCCTCAAAGTCAGTACATAAATATCATTTATTATTGAATATTATTAGATTTAATGGCATCTTTCAATTGTTTTGAATCCAGTTATATTTTAAGATTTATCATATACACTGAATCAAAAAAAATGAATATTTCCTTTGTTTCAAAGTAACAAAAATCAAAAATGAAGAAGTTTTTCTTTTAATTTGCAGCAAGTACGTGAGTTATCCAGGAGGCAGTTTTTGATTAACACATCCTTGATTTTGATAACACAGAATTGTCACAAATTTTAACTTTATCCAATGGAAAAGAACAATTTTATTTGTATTAATGAATAATATTACATAAACATTACTGTGAAAAACTCTGCTCATGTGATAAACTTAACAACTACATGGCATTGATATCACAGCTTCAACAGATGCATGACAAGTTAAGAAAATGTTATCTTTTATTACATACACAGACTAACAGCATTGCCTGAAAAAATGAAGGGAACTAAAAACTGATTGATATGGACATTAATATCAGATTTTATTTAATTATAAATCAATTTCTGTAGATTCATTTCTCCAAAGGAGAGACATCATATACATGTATCTCCCATTCAAATATTGATGTACATTAAAAGAAATAAATCTTTATTAAAAGTATGTGTATAGAAAAATTGTAGACTATTGCACAGTAAATTAGGATATTTGGCAAAAGAGATTCTTACACATAAATTAATTATCTAAAAAAATGATGTTATTCAGAGGAAGGAGATTCTGATATTTAAATCTTCATGGACATTGGTTATATTGTGGAAATCTGTGTATTGAATAGGAAACACCATAAACAGTCTTTGTGTCAGGAAATGTATATTATTGTGGATACTGTAGATCAGTCCTTCAAATTGTCTACACTCTTAAAAATCATTTCGTACATTAATACATGACTGTACTGTAGATTCCTTATTTTTCGCAAGTACTTTTTATCATGAAATGGCTATTGAATGGCAAATCGCAAGAATAATTATTGGCGATAGGACAGTTGATTGAGAGAATTTAAATGTATTTCAGCAATATAAATAAAAGCATGATATTTAATTTCGTGAGTGATGCTTCTTGCGAAATACGTGATTATTAATTCCTCGAATATAATTAGGAATCTACAGTACCCAAATCAAGGATTACATGTATTCATTTAAAATTCCTTTGGGACTTTAGAAATAAAAGACATTTAATTTAACCTGTTGACTCCTTGTCCATTATGGTTTTAAAATGCCATAGCTTTCCACACACTTCAAATGTTTTGTTAAAATTTGAAATATTTCTTAAGAGAGATACTGGTAAGATATCCATTTCTTTGTGTTTTACAATATGTTTCGCTCAGTCATGATTGATTACATGTAGTTTCGTACTTGTTGATGAATAAGGATTTGCTTACAAAGAATATTTGTTTCATTGACTGATAATATTTAAGCACTGATCACACTGTCTTGTACAATGTAATACCAGACAAGTGTTATGTATATATTATAGAAATTAAACATGCCATGTTGAAATATTTCTTCTGAATACTCTTATACACAATTCTGTTTCAGTCTTCTTTCTATGGAGTCTTGTAAACTGTCTACTTTGTGCGGTTTACAGTTTACGAAGTCCTACAAATTATATAGTACTTTCTTGTTGAGGATTTTTCTGAGAGCTGGGAGGTTTTGTATGGTTAAACATTATGTTTCTATAAGAAATGTCGATTTGATCTATTTAATATGTACCAAATTATCGTTACATTTAATGATGAATGTAAAGGATATGAAATTTTTTTTACAAGTTTTTTTTTTCTTGCTTGTGTAATTTATTTCCTTTCATGAATGACACACATGAATACCTACTAGAGGTATTAAAATTTTGATGACCCAGAGGTTTCAATAGCAGAAATTGTTTGTATTTCTTCTCATCTTCTTTTCAAGAACCACTAGGCCAATGTTATTTAACCTTTTTTGTCACAATGTATCGTTGAGAGTCAAGGACTCAGATTTTTTCGTAAGAAAAACCCGTGTCCCTTTTCAGGGGGAAATAATTAAGATTTAGTATCGTTATTCAGAAATCTCAAAATGAAGAGAATGTTGTGCAAATCTGGTTTATTCAATTATTTGCCTCCTGATTTTTGGGCGAAATCTTCGAAAAATATTTGTTCTTGTAAAGATGCTTTGACACAGATTTTAAGTTAATAATTTTCTGTTTAATATCAGGACCTGTATGTTGCTGTAGCATTTCACACAATTATATTTTAAAAACTTATTTCATATGGAGATTATTGAAACTACGAATTTTGGGAGGCATTTGATTAACACATCCTTGCATTTTGATTAACACATCCTTGCATTGTCACAAATTTTAACTTTATCCTTTATACTTACGTATGAAAAGAAGCAATTTTGTTGTGTATTAATGAATAATATTACATAAATATTATTCTATGATACAGAAAATTCAGAGTAAAAATGTTCAAAAGCAAAACCCACTCACTTTATAGTACTAGTATTTTATTAGCCGGGGGTCATCGTTGTTTAATTGTTTACAGATTTAAACAAATTAAATACACCTTAGAAACGTAAACTGCTTTGTAAACAGGGCAAGAGCTCTATTATTGTTAATGTTTACGATTCATCAGTTGCGTTCAATTGTTAAACCCTGCACACATCACTGAGCACGGACTGACAATTTTGGTGACAGGTGTTGCTTTCATACATTTCTACTCTGCATTTTCTGGATTAGAGTTTTAATAATTTTCATTATAAGGACAGATGATACAAACAAAAATGGATGCCTCGATCTGTATTTATTTTTTAGCCTTATTTCATTGCAAATAATGCAAAAAACATTAAAGATTTAAGAATATAAAGAAATTGTAAACCTGTGATGTTCAAAAGTCCGCTCTTCTTAAACCATCCTTATTAATCTATACAACTATTTTTCACTTCAAAACCCATTTTTGTGAAATTTTGAATAAAAAATAAAAAAAAAACTGCGGTGAAACTTATTCATTTTACGTATTTAAACATGGCCCTAGTTTTTGACATAAGTTTGTTTGTATCATCTGTCCTTAGTACACAACAAAATTAGTACTTTGCTGAAGGATAAAGTTAAAGCAATATGAGCTTAATTTTGGAAAAATTAATTTTGCTGTTAAAATATGCTATTATGATAAATCTGTATGTAATTTACACCAATATGTAAAATTAAACAGATATAAATAATTATTTTTGTTTTCAGATGAAAGATTTCTACAAAAGAATATGTTGTATTATATTAGAAATCAATATTGTACAGGACGACAATAACGAAATTTTGCTTCAATCACAGCATATAAACAGTTCTTCTGTCTGAAATATAAAGAATAGAAGTTTATAAATGTTCTTTTTTCTGTCATTTAAATAGTCAATTACAATATTGCAACAAAAATTTTCGACATCAAACTTGCAGCTCATATTGCTTTAATTTTTTTTCACGTGCAAGGATGTGTCTTTCAAACGTGTCCAGAAAATCAAAGTTTCAATAACATAGATTAAAAAAAGATTATTATATTTTCGTACGGAATGCTATAGCTACATATGTCATGGTATTTAACAGAAAATTGGAAAAATCAAATCTTAGCTTCCAGGGTAAGGAATCTTATAGGAATAAACTTGTTCAGGGAATATATTTCTCTGCTTAAGTCGGCGAAAGATTTAAACTTAAGATTTAAAGCAGATAGAGAAAGAAAAAAAAATGAACTCAACCTTCCAACTCCTTGCCTAAAAATCATCAGGGACCTACTTAAATTAGAAAAAAAATCATCACCATAATTTCCATTGCAGACGATCAGACATTTACTGAGTATAGCAATTGTCTGAAAAATAATTTATGTAATATATAAATCTCTGACAGGGATTTTCAAAATAAAATAAATAAATAAATAGAATAAAAATGAATTATATATAAATATATATAAACATGAAATAGAAAATATATCATATTTAGACATCATTTTATAAAATAAATGGAATTCTGAGTTGACATTTTGATATCAATATACTAGTATGCTGAAAAACAACAGCAGTGAGATTTTATTGCGGTATCAACTCGAAACTTACGTTTTTACACATAGGCAGAATGATAAATTAATATCCCTCGCTTTATGCGGAAGCGTGAACAAAAATCTATAGACTTTTTTGCACTAACAATCTATAATAAGTAATAATAGACAAACATCATCAGGTTTAGATCACGGAAGAATTTGGGCCCCTCAGGTGGCTATTCATTTTTAAGCTAATTTTTTGTGAATACCACAGGTCACAGCGATGGATTGTGGTGTCATGCAATGTATTTACCATAAAAGGTTACAAAGCCTAAAACTTATGGCCTATCGTATATAATTACCTTTAATATTATTACCCCTTTTTATGATTTTTTATAATGTATATTTGAAATAAAAAGATCCTGCAAAGAAGTGTTTGAAATATTGAAACGTAAATAGACGAACCGAACAATGAGTCTCAAAAGCACCTGCTCTAAAGTCGCGAAATAAGGAGTTTATCTTTACGTAGCGGGTTTTAATCCTTCAGATAAGACGATATAAACCGAGGTCCCGTGTCGCATTAGGTGCTGGCACGAAAAAGACCCCTCACTGCTCAATGGCCCTCAGTGTCGAGTATACGATAGAATTTGTAGCTTACCACCAGCAAGTAGTGGAGTCTCCATATGAGTTAAAATTTTCGAGAGGGACGTTCAACAACATATACAATCAATTAATCAATCATTCAATTACTGAAACTGTACAGGAATAAGAAATCTTATATAACTAGCATCTTATGATACTCTATCTGAAAAGCTAAACCATATATAGTTTACCACTCTCCTGAGATTTAAAAATGTTTTTTCCGCATGAATATTAGCGTTAATATTGTACATACATGGACTACCGTAAAACTGATAATTGAAAACAGTTAAGGGTTAAATATGATTATTATTATACCTCTACTGATTTTTCCCATATAAACGCTAGGCAGTAAAATGTGAGCAATTCCCTAGAAATCTCTGTGACTGGACTAATCCCCGTGCGTTAGTCAAATGAGATAATCCCTGCTTCGGAAGCTAATTTCCCGGTTATTCGTAATCCTCTAGCTTTTACTTTTGTATCGATCTAATATGTTCATGGACTAATCCCCGTGCGTTATTCCAGAAGCTAGTTCCCCGTTATTCGTAATCCTCTTTTTTTAAAACCACTGTATCGGTATAATAAACAGTTAAAAAGTTACTAGTTTGGCTTCCAGTGGATATACCAAGTACTAACTCTATATTTTAACTGTACCAGTGCTGACAACATTGTTCTAACTGTATATGCATGAACGTTTATATTGTGCAACAGTGACATAATAAATATATATATAACCGTATCCAGAAGTCGTTGTGTTATAAGTTAGCAAGATTCCAGTTCCCCTCAACCAGGACTATTTCCCTCGGCTGTGCCTCGGGAAATAGTCCTGGCCTTGGGGAACTTGAATTTTGCTAACTTCCTCAATGATAGACTTTAACTGTATACTATAACAGGGATTTATCTTTGTGGAGCTCACATTGAAAAATACAGTCTTTTGCTGTCTTCTGTATTTGCGGTGTGTAGTACTTCCGGAAGAAAAAAGAAACAAATACCTCACCCATTTTGCTTTAATCAATAACACATACACATTTTATGTACATTTCATAAAGATGGCCGAAGGTAGAGTTCTCAGTTTCACCGAGTGTTCGAGTTGCTATGTCTGTAATTGTTTCATAAAGGTGGCTGTAAGATATCATGTGTTAATAAATTTAAACGAGCTGCTAAAATTCACAGCAGGAAGACGTGTTTAAACTATCTCCAAATGTTTGCTTGTCCGTAGAGATGTTTTGCTATCCTAGAAATGCCAGATTATGTCATTATTAAGGTTATAAGTCTTATAAAGCATGTCCTGTTTCTGGTTATATCACGTAATTGTATTGTGTGGTATATATATATATATATACTTAGATTGTATGTTGTATGCTTTTTTGTTGTCAGATTTATTGCGTCAATTTGGTGTCTTTTATTTTGCGTAATTTTGTTGTGTGTTATATATTGCGTCATTTCGTTGTATGTTATATTGCGTCATTTTGTCGTGTGTTAAAATGCATCATTTATATGTCTTTTATAATGTGTTATTTTGTTGCCTGTTATATTGCGTCATTTTGTGGTCTGCTTTGTGGAGTTATTCTAAAATATTCATTGTTATATGACGTTATCCACTATTGGGTAACTTCACAAATATAGGCTGCGTTTTCTGTACCGTCCACGGCGGTCCATAGATTTGTTCCCTGGTTGGTGCGGATCTTGAGATCTGTGGCGCCTGTAGATGGCTCGTTCTGGTCCCACTTAAAGTATGTTATCTGGCTGCCATCGTCGTAAATGAAGTTAGAACTAGCGTCTACTCTTTTACCTTGTATGTATACTGTTTGTAAAGTATTGGACGCTGCAAAAAAAAAATCAAAAGTGAATTTAAGGTTAAGTAGATCAGTTAGAAGAACAGAGCATTACACTCCTTCTACTGTAATGACGTACATATTTGATTGACTAAAAAACTGTATTTAGCATCGTTGTCCACTTTAATGAGGAGTCCACTGTCGCCTTTACAGGCGGCGTCCGCAGCTGTCCACGTGGTGGGGGTAGTCACGGTTTTATAACACACAGCTGCCGCGGTATCATAGGCGTATCCAGAGGTTGTACACCAGGCACCTTAAACAACAAAGCAAAGATTTAATTTGATTCAAACTGAGGAGATTTTGTTAAGGCAGCTTAGACAAGGAAGCCCCACCTGGAGTTGCGGTTGTCGTTGCGGTCACCACATTAGTCGCTGCGGTTGTTGTTGCGGTTATTGTTACCGTCCCAGACCCTGACCCTGATCCAGTTCCTCCTCCTGCTGTGTAGCCGAAAGCACTCGCTGATGGAGACGCAGCAGACAGGGACGACGACGAGGAAGCGAAGGGAGAAATGGAGTCGGAGTTGACGGCGTAGGCCGCTATACCAAGGAGGGCTAACTGCCCCGGGGTCAGGTTTACCCCTCCAGCTGTGTGTGAAAGCAAAAGGAAGAATATCTTATGAAAAATTAAGGTTGTTCTCATTGACAACGTGCCAAAATTATTTTACAATGATTGAAGAAGACGATAATTGTTGTTTGAAGATGAAACCAATGTATTGTTAAGAGAAAAGAAAAGGAAAAGGATTCTGGTTTTGAGGATGAAGAAATAGATTTTGACTTGTAGTTTGAAGTTAGCTATTATGGATCAGAAGAAGTAAACATCGATCTTTAATTAAAACTTGTATACGGCGTGAGATGATTGTGGACTAGAAATCGAAATCATGGCCGAGAGGAATAACCGTGAAATTCTTACTTTTAACGAGGTTGTTGAAAGAAAATGATTGTGTGATTTTAAATTATTGACAAACGAGTTGATGAAAAAAGAATTTCATCAGTCTCTTTTAAAGTCATCATTTTGTAAGTTCTATGATCGATACAATGACCTTGTTAGCAGGCAAAATTTTTTTATCATTGAGTCAAATACTGATTGACGTTTTTCATTCTAATTGTTAGTCGATTATTTATACACTGAATTGACTACGGATTTTTCCGCTATTTTCCGATCATGACAAGGAGCACACAGCGGGTGTGACTGGTCGGCAATAGATGCTCACTCCTCTATGGCATCTGATTCCACCTCTGATGTTTCGGAGGTCCGTGTTTGCTCTGCTCTTGTTTTGTATTGTTTTATTGACTCTTGGTCTTGAATACTGTTCTATATCTCCATATGTTTCACGATAAAGAAAATGGTTGTATCCTAAAGATTAAAATAAATTGTTGCGGTTTAAATTGAAGGAAATAATCGATCTCACTAGAATCATTTAAACTTAAAAATAAGTATTCACTATGATACCATTTTCTGCAGTCATGAATTAAAATTTCTTTTTGGACAAATATTTTTGCATGAAAACCGGGACTATATTTTTTGGCGTCAGATTTGCAAATGAGGCACCAGCATGATTTTAACTGACCAATCAGCTGAGTGAGAATTGCATTATGCATCCCAACTATTGTTATGTGATTCAAATTCAAGACACGTGGTTAGGTTGACCTATTCAAAGGTTATAGGGTAGAACCGATTTTATAAATAAAAAAAAGCAAACAGGAAATTGGTATAGTCTGTTCACTTTCTCTTTTGAGAACATGTCCTCTGAATGCGTTTCAAGACCTTTCTGAAAGACTTTCATGATTTTTTAACAGAAAAGGGTGGCTAAAGGGGGTGGGGTGGGCGGGTAGGGTTAAAATAACAATATATCTGATCATAATTTACGGTGAAAAATAGAGCTCACTACTAACTGATACGCTGGTAAAAAATGTGTAAATCATCTACTCTTTCAAACCTATGTTTTAATTTTTAACAAATAAAATGTTTGAAATTGTGAGCATGAATATAATACATATAGAATGTAAAAATGCTTACATTTTCAAAATGGATGGAAATGTAGTCTTCGTCCCTTTTGATTATCATAAGATTTCTTTTCAAGCGTAAAATTCCTGTACAATATTCGTAGTAACCCATGATACAACTCTCATTCAATTGATTTGTCAGTGAAAGTCATGCTGGTGCCTCATTTGTTACTCTGACGCCAAAAAATATAGTTCCAGTTTTCATGCAAAAATATTTGTTCCAAAACAAATTTTTAATTCATGATTGCAGAAAATTGTATCATAGAGAATGCTTACATTATATTGTATATAGTATTTAAGTTTGAATGAATTCAAGAGATCGAATGAAGTACATTTTTACAGATATTTAGTGTTTTGAAAACTGAAACGCAATATAATTTTTCTGTTTGCCATTTCTCCACGTGCTAGTAGCGTCCTAGCCACATTTCCGTGAATAATGTCTCTATCTCGCTGTAGTCTCTCTAACTCTTGTCAGAGCCAATGCCAGAGCTACTCTGAACTCATCGGGATTTATAATTTGCAGAACACCGAAAAATAAAAGGTTCCGAAGACATTAGTAGGGGTGTGATGGGTTACTACGAGGAATTTTACGTTTGAGAAAAAAAATCTTATGGCGATTGGAAAGGAACAAAGACCATTTCCCATCTATTTCGTAAATGAAAAGCATTTTTTTTTTAAAATTCTATTATTTTTATGCTCACAATGACAAACAATTCATTTGTTAAAATAAACGGTGGAAGTCTAGATTTCTCAAAGTCATACAGCAAAGCGATTTGCGTTTGTATTAATTAGTATAGTTATATAAAATAAATGTCTGTCCATTTAAATGCATTAAAGATGCTTCTCGTTTTACTTACCCTCGAAGCGGTGGTGTTTTGAACTTGACACAGACTACATTAATTTTTTAAACATATTTTTTCAAGTTAACAAAAAATTAAAAAAGCCTGTGAAATCTTACATAGTATTTTATCTTTGTATTTTATTCGTAGGAACATTTTTAAAATTTTTCTTTACGTTGGCATGATCACAGATTGACCTGAACCACGTGTTCGAAGTAAAACATAAACAAGTATTTGGCGTAAACGTTGCTATTCATTCAACGATTGGTCAGTTGCCCGTGGTAAGATCCTCTATGCGAATTAATAACAATAGCAATATGAGGCAGACATAGGTTTGTAAGAGTAGATGATTTACACATTTTTTTTAAACCAGCGTATTAGCCACTAGTGAGCTCTATTTTTTCACTGTAAATTATGATAAGATACATTGTTATTTTATCCTTCCCCGTTTATCCACCCCTTTCTGTTGGAAATCATGAAAGTCTTTCAGAAAGGTCTGGAAACACATTTTCACAGGTCATGTTATCAAAAGAAACAGACTATAGCAATTTCCAGTTTACTGCCAATTTATTCATAAAACCGGTTCCGCCCTATAACCTCTGAATAGGTGAACCTTAACCACGTGTCTTGAATTTAAATCACAATATCATTAGAAGGGGTGAGCTTGTGTGACCGATCGACAGTAGAAGATTACTCCTGATTGAACCCGATGTTTAATTTAGGGGTCCATGTTTGATCTGCTCATGATTTGTATTGTTGGAATGAAATTTAGCACTTGTGTCCTCTTTTATATCTATATCTTGAATGTGAAAAGCTTATGTTATGAAAAGTGAATATTTAATTTTCAATATGTAGAAGAAAGCATTTACATTCAAAGAAAAGGGTAGATAACTACATTTAGAATTGTGTACTAATTAAGACAATCCTAGGTCAAGAAAATACAGACAGATGAAGCTGATGATATGGAAATTGTAAATACATAGGAACAACGAGAGCTTCCATCACCTATACAAAAATATACCTTCATCATCTGCTCAAGTAGTTTAAATATCTCAGTTGAGTCGATTAGCAAGAACATGTTTTACGTATGAACAATTTTTTTAAAACGAGGAATATTACTGACAAACAAGTTTACTTAATGAAAAAAGAATTTCAGCAGTCTCGTTTAAAGTCATCATTTGGTAAGTTCTATGCTCGATACAATGACCTTGTCAACAAATACAATCTATCATTGAGTCAAATGCTGACTGACGTTCATCATACTAATTGTTAGTCCATTATTTATACACTGAATTGACAACAGATTTTTTCGTTATTTTCCGATCATAACAAGGAGCCCACGGCGGGTGTGACCGGTCAGCAGGGGATGTTCACTCCTTCATGGGCCCTGATCCCACCTTTGATGTTTTGGAGGTCCATGTTTGCTCTGCACCTGTTTTGTACTGCTTAATGAACTTTTGATCTTGAATACTGTGCGTTATCTCCATAAGTTTTCTTTTAATGAATGTCAACCAAGGGCAACAGATATAAAAGTGAGGATAAGTGAAGGTGACGATAAGACATTAAGATTGATCTCATTTATAGAAACCATAAAAATATATCAGAGGTTGGTAGAAAGAGTTAAATATCCAATGTTTACTGGTCACATCCGAGGTGAATAGATGCATTGGAAGACAAAGTGTACTTACCGAAAAAAGCAAAGACTGGAACAAAAAGGGCGGCGGCCAGAAGAGCTTGGAGCGAGTCATTAGAGTCCACCAGAGGTAATCCCAGGAGAAGTATCCCCCATAATACCTGTAAGTACCCCACCCTCATGCCACGTCCTCACAGAGGGGCTGTAATAAAATCAAATAAATAAGATGTATAGAGAGTATCATTAGACTGGACCAGAGGTAATACCAGGTGAAATTTCCCCCAGTACAGATGAAAGTATCCCACCCTCATGTCATGTCCTCACAGAGGGGTTATAAAATGTCAAGTAAAAAAAGAAACGTTTACATCCAGGTGGTTAAAATTTTAAGCAAGCAATATGAAGAAAAAAAGAACCCTTTATTCTTATTGTTTTAAGTTATTATTTCAGTCTAACCTAAAAGGAAAATCACACAAGACAATTTGAGGTAGTAAATTAAAAATTGGCCATTTTTTCTTATACCGAAGTCAATTCCTTAAAATCGTAATATTTTTTTTTATTCTAGGACACAAACTTTATCTATATAGATGATATGAAAGAAATTCCAAATTCTTTTCACATATGGTTAGAAATAACGTATACTAGTATATACTTCACTTCAGGTTCTTTTGAGGAACCATTCAATTCTTCACAATAAATAAATAATTAAAATGATTGAAATGGAATCCAATTTCTGTTTCATATCTGATGACTTTAACTTAACAATCGTCAACTTCCATTACTTATGCAGCAATGTACTTACGTCAACTGCATACGGAATTTATATATCTCAGTTGATTCGATACGCAAGAGCATGCTCTACGTATATGAACATTTTCTGAAACAAGGTAAATTATTGACAAACAAGCTAAGTTGATGAAACAAGAATATCAGCAGTGTCACGTTTAAAGTCATCATTTCTTAAGTTCTATGGTCGATACAATGACCTTGTCAGCAAATAAAATTTATCATTAAGTCAAATGCTGACTGACGTTTTTCATACTAATAGTTAGACCATTATTTATACACTGTATTGACGACGGATTTTTCCGTTATTTTCCTATCAAGACAAGGAATACACGGAGGATGTGACCGGTAAGTTTGGGATAATCACTCCTCCATTGCACCTGATTCCACCTCTGATGTTTCGGAGGTCCGTGTTTGCTTTGCTCCTTTTTTGTATTGTTTAAAGGACGTTTGGTAAGGAATACTGTTCGTTATCCCCATATATCTCATCTGAAATGTGAGAAATTGATGATACTTTGGCTAACAAAAAATGCCCCCCCCCACCTCCAAATTAAAATATTTCTCATTTGTACTATCAAAATGTTTCCTTGAACATTATTTTACATAAATATTTGAGACCTCTGTAAATAGATTTTTATACCAGGTCTCTACTATAAATGGTTAATAGAAAGATTCCTTTGCAATTAATTGCAGAAGACCATATTGCATGTAGATAGCATAAGCAACTTCTTAAATTAAGCTCCTAAATAACTAATATACATGAAAAGACATCTCTAATATTTATAAAAAAAAAAAGTCAAAAAAAAAAAAATGACAAATCGTATTATTTTTCTGACAAATATCATGGATTTTTGACATAATAGAAACTTTTGGCATTTAGGTAATAATTTTGTCTTTTGCCGGTGTACTTTATAAAAAAATGAGTTAAACAGCTTACTTGGATGGTTTTGTTTTAGACTTTAAGAAGTCTTGAGTATATAGAATATCTTCAAGTCAAGCCATTGCTCTTTTAAAAATGCCAATTTTTTTTTTAAGTAATGTCACAACTGATATGAAATCTTTAATGATCAAATATTATCAATAATTCTGAGTTGTTAATACCCCTATTTTTTGTTTTGCAATTTTTTCGATAAAAAATACTTTTTAAAATATTAAGATAAACAGAACGTTCATTTGTGTCTACCACCAAACAGTAAGAATTATAGCAACTTTATCATAATAAAATTACTTCTTGGCACCCTTTTGAGACATTTTACTTGCATATCTTTCTTACCCTCTTAATTGATTTATTTTTAATAATTCATTTTGCCTTTTTGCTATAAACCATCTTGTTTTGAGTTATAGTAGTAATAACATTTTTAACCTTTTCTGGTGTGACTCCTCAAAGTATACTCCTTTGTCAAATGAATGTTCAAGAAAAATTCAATAACCTCGACACATTCTGTCTGCGAGGAGATAGACGAGACCAACTTCTGTACTTTGATTTTTAAAAGTATTGCACAGATCTGAATGCAATTATAATGCAGAAGACAAAATAGATAAATGTAGAGGAATTGTTCATAGAGGTTTGCTGAAAAAAAATGATTATTAAAGATATTGAAGCCGTTGTAACTATATTTTGGATTATTATAATGATTGCGATAGATATACATCCTACCACTCAACCACCCAATGATAATTTTGGATATGCATATATTAAGTATATAGTGCGATGTGGGCATTTTCTTTAGAAGATTTCAACTAAGGGTATTCAGCATCATACAGAGACTTCTGTCAGATGCCCGGAGACACAGAGTAAGTTCAATAGAACAAAGAGATTACCCAGTAAGTATTTCACCTAAAAGGATTGACAAAGCAAGGATATCAGTATTTTCGTGTAAAGTCATCATTTGGTAAGTTCCTTTGTCGGTACAGTGACCTTATGCCAAAAAGAATTTATCATTAAGGCTAATGCTGACTGACTTTTTTTCTGACTGATTGTTAGGCAATTGTTTACACACTGAGTCGACGAATGATTTTTTTCGCTCTTTCCCAATCATGTCAAGGAGCACACGGTGGGTGTGACCGGTCGTCAGGGGATGCTGACTCCTCCATGGCATCTGATCCCACCTCTAAAGTTTTAGGGTTGCTCCGCTCTTGTTTTGTAATGTTTAAAATACTTTTGAGCTCGAATACTGTTTTCTATCTCCACATATCTAATGTGCACTTTAATTATTTTTTTTTACTTAGTGCGCATGCGTAGCAATTACAAAAATTATGAGTATTCATGGAATAAACAAAATTAATCAAATAGAATTAAACTCCGCTTGTTTAAGTCACAAGTTTGAATTTTCAGCTTTTGAAATTTATTTCCTTTTATTAAAATATCCTGGTTGTTACAGACAGAAAACAGAAACATGTACAAATATGAATGAAATGAAAAATGAAGCATTTACATTTTTTTTTATCATTATTTTAAGCATTAATAGAAAGCTTTTATTTAAGCAAAATGGCATAACACTTTATAATTTTTTTTTTTTTTAGAAATTGTAGCAAAAAGTAAAGCAATTCTAATCCCAAGCGGACAATTCAACTGGCATTATTTTTTCTCTACTCAATAAAAAAAAAACAAACAAAACAATACAATGTCACAACCTGCACCATTTTTAAAGTTGTTCACACTTAAGTTCTATTAAAGTGCATTTTTTCCATGTTTTTTTTTAAGTAAAGCAAATTTTTGAAAGTATGATAATTTTTTTCTGTTTTTTTTTTCACTTTTGTTTTAGACTTATATTTAAATATTAATTTCACTTTTTATTAACCCAAAACTTTTGAGGCATGGGAACGCATGGGAAAAGGGGTTGTTAATAATAGAGGATGATAAATTAATTAAAATGCAAAAAACAAAATGTTAATCCATGTAAAAAAAAATCAGACACATCATTTTTGTTCATGACAGTTAATACAGAAAAAAGTAAACTAAAGCGTGTAGTTTTTTAAATATAATTCCCAATATTAATTAATATCATTCAAACACGAAAAATATTCGATTAAATATAAGTGATAATTTACACTTACCAATGATAATAATAAGTAATATGGCGTTCCTTTAAAGTAATTTAACACCATATACGTTGACGTGAGCACCCCTTTAACACAGGGGCCGCTTCTCCTGCCTCTCACTTGTGCGTTATGCCCAGTGACATCACTCATCCATCATTAAGCAGGTAATTATAACATGATATATTATAAAAAGATGTGGCTATATAAATATCACTGATCACGTGACGTCAGTAGCATTACAGGATGATTACCGGTATTTAATTCTTCTTTTCATTTTAGCAAGTGGAAAAGTTACATATTACCTAAATGGAATTTACTTTTTTCTTATAGCTGAAATATACTACGTGTAATTACGAGAAGAAAAATGTATAGGTTTTCTATTGGTTATAATGTAAATGTGATATTTAATTTTCAAGACAGAACATATTTTTAATGTACCAGTTTTTAGCATTATTTTTTTCATCGATTAGAATTTTTGTATTTTTACCTTTACCTTCTTTTATTCTTGTTTTAACCATGATATATATTTTTCTTTTCTTGTCATTTATTTTCAATAGGCAATTTAGTTGTGTTTTTAATTGGCTTTTTTAAAAATCCTTTTCTTGAGTGAAGTTATACATGTTATCAGTTGATTTTTATGCTTTACTCTAATATATCATAATATAAATTAGATGTGATATTAATGCAACCGTATTAATAAATGCTTTATAATATTTTTTTACGTGCATTACGAAACACTTGCTAATGTGACGGAAGTGTTAGATATGTAAGAATCAAATTTGTTTATAATTATATGATATCAAAATTGGATCGAGAAATAGCGAAGAAATATTTTAATATTCAAAAATAGTAATCAGCTTTGGATAATATTTTTTAAATTAATTTTTTTCACATTATTATCCAAATGGTTTAATACCGGTATCATGAATAACTCAGTGTAATAATCATATTAAAATTGTTATCTTTGTCAGGGTTTTTAAAATTAATTGAAACTTAAATATGGTTACAATGTCAATGTACCTGATATTAATTAAAAAAAAAAGAGAGATTACAAATATTCACTCGCATATTTGATACCTTTTCTGATATATTAAAACTTACGCAAATGTTATATTATGCTAGAAATGTTTAAATATATATAATGTTACACCTATTTAATTAAATTTAAAATCAAATACCTTCAAAAATGTAAATAAGACAAAACAATAAAAAAAAGTCCAGAATACTTGAATAATAATAATTTCGTTTGCTAAAATATTTCATAAAAGCTGTTACTGTTATTTATTATTCATTTATTTGATAAACAGGTGCTTTTTAGGAAATATGCAGAAGGGTGGGGAGGTATGAAATTTATATTTGAAAAAAAAAGAA